ACTTTTCACCCTGCCCATCCCTCCCTCCCCCGCTCTGGCCCCAGTTAGCTCCTCCCTTTGAAAAGCAAAAGAAAAACTCCTTCTTTTGGTATAAAATCCCCCCACACCTCTCCCACCACCCCTAGTACACTCCACTATGCAACCTTAATTCTGGACTTTTGTGATAACCATAATACCCTACCATATATTGTTTTTACATTATTCTCTCCCTCATCTGTTTCAATGTAGTATACATAATTTATCCAGTTTTTCTCAGTCTTATTGCTTCATTCAGTAACCTAAATTACTTCATGGAGTCTTTTCATTCATCCAGTAAGGATGGAGCAAAAGAGACTTAAGGGAAGATAAAGACATTTAGAGAATTACTTAGAAGATTTTAGGGACAAGTCTAAAAGTATGGAATGTATCCCTCCCACTGGAGAAGTCAGTCCTACAATTTCACTTAATTGTTGGGAATAGGTAATAATTATCTAGTTTACTGGCACTCCTGATAACTCCACATGTGCAAAGTGGTGCACTTCAACGGGTTTTCAAGGCTATGACTTTTCAAAAGCAGATTGCCAGGACTTTCTTGCAAAGCACCTCTGAGTGGTTTCAATCCACAAACCTTTTTACTAGAAGTTTAGTGCTGAATGGACTGCATCATAGAGAATTAAATATAAAGGAAGAGGGGATCTATAGTTGAGCTAGTGCCCATGAAATGCGTATGATTTCAAGAGTATAGAGCAGTGTGTCTAGATTGCATGCTTTATCCAAATAAAAGGGAATTACATAATATAGCTGCTTCTTATGAAGAAGTTTAAGAACTTCTATGATATAAGTCTCTAGGGGCTTTCTTGTAGTTCTCTTGGCTAACAAGCTCTGTTCTGAAGATAGTTGTTATGACTCGAAGTGTTATGACTTCAAACAGCTAAAGAAAATAAAAGAGGTGAGAGCTTCTCCCCATAAACTTCTTTCTGCCTTTTTGGAAAGCAAGCTACCACTTACTTTTTATTACACCTTCTCAATAGTCTGAATAGTATGGATTGTTGTCATTAATTCCTTGTTTGTGAAAAATCACCGCATATTTTCATTTACTTATCTAGTTCATTTAAGTGACTTTTATGGAGGGGCATTCAGTAACACAAATTTTACTGGAATTCTACCAATGGCTTAAATTTAAAGATGGCTTCAGGCTGCTCCGACTTTACCTTACCCTGAGAAGGGATTTACAATTTTCAAAATTTGTTTTGTCAGAGAGGATTTAGTTTGATCATTATATGTTCTTGTCTTCGAAAAATTCAAGTTATAGGCCTTGATTCCCTACTTTCTGGGAGAAAAGGATGTCAATGCCGACCTTGTAAGAAGATTTAAGCACAACAAGAAGAGTTCCTGCAACACTGTGATCTGACTTAAAGCCATGTCTATGTGTTATTGGCCCCCAATAGCCATTTTTGTGTGAACAGTAATGAGAATTCCCATTTTTATAACCAATGTCCTAGTTTATGTGGACAAAACAATCAATGTTTGAAGTAGTCACTGGATAGGGAAGGTGAAAAAAATATGTCAAAAAGCAGAGCAGAAATTATTACCCCTCAAAAAAAATTTCCATAGAGTAATGTCCAATTCATAGTAACCTTTAAAGACTTATGTAAAGAGTATTATGAGACTCCTGATGTTATCAATTATAGATGAAAAAGAGGTAAAGATTGCAGTGTTTCTTCAAAGTAGTTGTCATTAAGTGAGCAGAATCTGCTAGTTGTTATGTGCCATAGAGTTGATTCTGACTCATACTAACCCTGTGAACGATGGCTCTGAACCTTGCTAACCTTACTGTCTCTGACACACCTAACCCTATTGTCAGTCACTGTATCAATAAATCTCATTAAGGGTGTTCCTCTTCTGCACTGACTCTCTAGCCTTCCATGCATGAAGTCCTCTCCAAGAACTGGCCCTTCACAGCAACATGTGCAAAGTATGTGAGAGGAAGCTTCAAAATTCTTGCCTCCAAGGAGCAAACTGATGTCATCCTCTCCAAGACAGATTTGTTCTCTTGGCAGTTCATGGTATGTTCAGTATTGCTCTCAGAACCACAACTCAAAAGCATCAAGCTTTCTTCTGTTACCCTTATTCTTTGTCCAGGTTTCAAATAGTGTTTTACCAACTGCAAAAGCATTAGACTGTGTGGATCACAGTAAATTGTATCTAACACTGAGAAGAATGGGGATCTCAGAACACCCGATTGTGCTCATGCAAAACCTGCACCTAGACCAGAAAGCTGTTGTCTGAACAGAGCAAGGATTCAAAAACAAGCATGGTTCAAAATTGAGAAAGGAGTGCATCAGAGATCTATCCTTTCTTTAAAAAAATTTAAAATATGGACCACTCATGAATTTGCGTGCGATCCTTGTGTAGAGGCCATTCTAAATCTTCTTTGTATCGTTTCCATTTTAGTATATGTGCTGCCAAAGCTAGCACAGATCCTTTCATTTTAGGATCACATATATCAGATCCCATTGACTCAAACTCTTAATATAACGATTTCTTTTTTGTATTCCTAACTGAGGTGATCTGATTTCTGCAAATTTTAACAGGACCTCACCATATCAAAACTTGTTCCCTAGGAAGTCCTAGTCATCTTTCTTTGTGTAGCCAAAACTAACAATACCTCCCCCAGACCAGGATGGATAGGAGCTTTAAAGCTATATTTCTTCAACCTAATCCTTGTCAGTACTGTCAACTACAGCTCATTAAATATGGTTTCCACAGCTATTTCTTTGCTTGTCTCAAGTGCTGGGTTTCACTTGAAATATGGTACTCAGTCTAGAAAACTACTCAGAAACCTCACCAATTTCTGAGAGCTTTGATATCCTTCTGCCCCTAGGAAAGTTTGGCAAATATCTTTGTGCTGTTGTGGAACTTTGTTTCCAACTAATAGATAGATAGATGATGGATGGGTTAGCATATACAGATATGTAGACGATGGATGAATAAACAGGTAAGGTTTAGGGAGGTTTGGTAACCTCTCTGGTAGTTTAAATTTACCATCAGTTCCATGGGAGAAAAATGGGAAATCTCGCATGCAAATTACAGCCATTTAAACCCAACAGATGATCAATGATGAGCCAGTACCAATTCAACAGTAGTGAGAGAGAGAGAAGCAAGTATTAGAAAACAATCTTTATTTCTGGGGTGCTACCTAGTTCATTTATTCCCTTTATTTGATTCCATTGAAATTATGTCTGCTACCAGCTCCATGGTGCTTTCTTTTCCATGAAAATGAGAAAAGCAAGGAGGCAAAACATGAGTTTGTTTTTAGCAATCTGAGTTCTGTTTGTCAACTACCTTTCTTCTTCTTTAATAGCTCAAGGCCATATAAACCATGACATTTGGTCCCAGATTAAGTACAGACAAGGAAACCCTCTGGAGTATTTATAAATTTGGGGAATTTCTTTTCCACATTATTCCTTCTCCATTTCTCTTTCTTCCAGAGAGCTATATTGATGATCTAAAGTGAAGACTCAGCTCAGCCTAAAGGTTCTCAAATCCCAAAATTCTACTTCAAGTAGTTTTACTGACCTCTCATTAGGCTAATTCTAGCCCTTGAAGTTATGCTGAGCTCTCTCTACCTAAAAAGGCCTCCCCCATCCACCCCCCCCCAGTAATTCATCTTAGATCAATTAGAGTTTATATCAGTCATGAGACACTGATTAGGTTTCCAGTCAGGACTTGATCTTCTCACTTAAGTCAATTGTGATAAATCCACTACTGAGTATTCACATTTGGATGTAGCTGCAGAGAAACACAGCTCATCTCCCTACAACATCTTCCCTGAGAATCCTCACACAGAAGATTATGTGGGCTCCAGATCTTACCTCTGCCAAGAGAAAGCCACGCCATCTAGCAGGATCTTCTAATCTGTGAATCTCAGTTGCTGTGCAGTGATCAAAACAGAGATAGTACTTTTTATTAATGAAGAAAACAGACTTAGAAGCTCTTAGAAGTTCTCAGACTTCCTGTGGGACCTTGAAAAGTTGAGGAAATTTCTGTTTACAAACATGACTATATTAAATTTCTGGTAAAGAAGCTTGAGCCCCAAATTACTCTGTGCCCCTTTATCAGATGTTTTCTAATTACATAAAGCCCCCAGCTCTCCCTCAGCAGACTCAGCCCTTGCTTACTTCCTGTCTTTTGAAGAACTAAACAAATAGGCTGGACATTGGCTCCAGGATCTCTTCACGCTACAATCTTCTCCTGGGGGTTGCTGATCCTCATTCTGGTTCTCCTTTTGTTCTTCTTTCTCTTCTCCCTTCTCTTGGGTGCTCTCAGATTCTGTGCTCCCTGCCAGCTGAGCCATGGTGAGATGAAAGATGTGGCAGCTAAAGCCTTCCCTGATGCCAAACTGCACGTGTTCTTGGAGGTTCTCCAAGGTGGGAAAGACCCGGCAGCAAGCCATGCACCTGTAGCCACTCTCAGTTGCCACCAGCCAGTCAGGTGTGTTGGCTCTGGGTAGTTCCTCAGCCTCAGGTGATCCTGGGGGGCTGTCTGTCTCTGCTCTTTCCTCATGTTCTTTCTCCTCCCCACTGGGCTCACTGTCAGACAGGAGGTTTCTAGTGGACACATCAGAGGGAGGAGTGTCTACTCGCGTGTTCTCATGAAGGATCACTTCTCCCAACCTTGGCTCCTTTTCTTCTGACTCAGAGGTTTCTTCTGTCTTCCAGGAGATAGCTACACCATTTTTCATTTGTACCTGCATGTAGTATATTTTCATGCCTGTTTCCTCTTTATTTATACCCAGAGAAGGTCCACAGGTCTTATAGGATGACGAAGCGTGCATGCAAATATATTGTGACTGTGCAGGAGTTTCTTCTTTTTCATGAACCTGGGCTACAGGGGATTTAGGCTGGGGACTGTCTTCATGTGTTTCCTGGTCTCCTGAGAAAGAAAATTAGAAATGTAAGAAGGACAAGTGTGTAATATACTAAGACCTGAGGTATCATGAGTGAATATTTGTGGTGTCAGAGAGAAAGACTGTAGGGTGATGTAGCTGAATATATTTTTTATACTATGTGGTCATGTACCTGATTTCATTTTTGTATAAGGATTTTGGAGCTATGTCTGTGAATAGATGTGTGGAGTATTCTAGAATTGAAACAAGGAATATGTAGCAGAATGTTTGTGAGATATGTGTATGTATGCATGTGTGCATGTATATATGTTCATGTCTTGTGAAAAAGATGGATGTTTATCATATGCAAGGGCCAGGAGGTACCAGAGTACTCCTTGCAGGCAAAGACGGCAAAGTTTCATCTCACCTATTTTGGATATGTTTTTAAGAGAGGCTATTACTTGAAAGAGACATTATGCTTGGAAATGTGGAGCATTAGCAAAAGAGAAAAAGCCCCTCAGGCAGATGTAGTCACACAGTGACTACAGAAATAAGTTTAAGTATGTCAGAAACAATGAGGATGGCTCAGGATAGGACAGGGTTCAGATCTGTTATTCATCAGGTTGCTATGAGTAGACTCAACCTGATGGCACTTAACAAGAAGGAACTAGTGGGACATCGGCTGTAGCATACATGGTGCCACTGTGGGTTTGTTTGGATTTTGTGTGTGAACTGTGAATAAATATGTGTGGAAAGGGGGTTTGTATTGTGAGGTTGGGTCTTAGGTGATTGGTTCCACTCTGGTGTTGGAAGCATATGCTGAGGAACTCTTCTTTGGAAGGCAAAGACCCTCACATTTCCACCTAAGATGCCTGATGTAGTCCATCTGCTCTGTCTTAAACTTACACCTTTCTGAGCCTTCTTGTCTGATTCCCCACCAAACTCACACCAAGACTCACAGAGCAGAGCCCTCATTCCCTCAGGATACTCTAAAATACCTCTATATCTTAAGCTGGGATTCTTTGGATTTATTTGCCTCCTGTCCCCATAGTAAAGAACCCAGGACCCAAGGAGGCCTACACCCTCACCATCATGGAGTGCACACAAAGAAGAAACACAGGAAAAGTATTCAGAGGCAGAGGTGACCTCTTCTTCCATGAAGTCTTTGATCACTCCTGTGGTTCTAAGTTTATGAACTTTCTTGGGACTTTAAGATTCCAGAGAAAGGTATTAAAACCAAAAAGAAATGATGGGTTGGGTATATTTGTGTCTCATTTATTCATACAAGATATTCTATTTATTGAACATTTGTCCACTGGCAAGTATGGTGAATTTATATGGCTATCTACTGCTTAAGAATCTGAGGCTTCATGAATGCTGCACTAATTAATTGCAATTTATTAATATCTTTTTAGGGATGTAGGCTTATATAGTGATTAAATATCTCTAACATGGAAAATTATATGTGTTAACTAAGCTTTTGCTAAGTAGAGTGCCATGTGGTGTGTATGGCATGACAGTTTCTGTCTGTGAAGAGCTCAAGTTCACAATTTATGAATTATTTCATTTTTCCTGATTATAAATCAAGAAAAATAATGTGGTTTGATTAATTCATTTAGCCTATATTTAAAGAGCAACTTCTATGCACCAGGTGCTATCCTACTGTTTTAGCAAGAGTAAGGAACACCTTAACAAACTCTTAGTTGTGCCTCTGACATAACAATTCAGGATGTCTAAAGGAGGCAAGTTAGCAGAAGTGCCTTCCACTCTCTTATGTGGTTGCCTCAGTTAGATCTCTTCCACATTTGGGGCACCTTGAAATATCATTATATGCCTCATGTTGCACCTTTGGGCTTGTACCAGAGAGGCAAGTGCTACTCTTCTGTGTCTACTGTGTGCAGAGAAGGACATTGAGCCATACAATGTTCAGAAAAATGTTCAGTGGTGTCCCACTTCAAGTGTTGTTGTTATGTGCTTTTGAGTAACTTTTGACTCATAGTGACCCTCTGTCAGACAACAGCTCTGAGCCCTGCTCTCTCCTGAGCCAATTTCATTGTCTCAAACACACCTACCCCCATTACCACAGTCACCGAGTCAATCCTTCTCATCCAGGGTCTCCCTCTCTTGTGTTGCCCCTCCATTTTCCCAAGCATGATGCCCTGCTCCATGGACTAGCCTCTCTTGGAAACATGCCCAAACCATGTGAGACAGAGCTTCAAAATCCTTGCCTCCACGGAGTAGACTTGCTCAGGAAATTAGATATACTTCTGATTCTGTTATTTTTGTTTTTATGTCCCATCAAGTTGAGTATGACATAGAGTGACCCTATGAACAACATATCTTAGACTGGTATAACCCTGTCAAACTCGACACCTTCTTCACCATCTCTGCCATGCTTCAGCCCATTGCTCTAGTCATTGTGTCAGTCCATCTCATTGAGAGTCTTCTTATCTTTTCTGACCGTCCGCCATTCCTAACACAATGTCCATTTCTAAGAAATAGCCCCTTCTAGCACATTCCCAAAGTATGTGAAATGAAGTTTCACCATCTTTGCCTCAAAGCAACCTCTGGTTACACCTTCTCCAAGATATGTCTGATTGTCCTTTTGACCTTCAGTGGGATATTTAGTACTCTTCTCCAACACAACTCGGGCATCAATTTTTCTTTTGTCAGTCTTATTCTCTGTCCAAGTATCATATTCACAAGTGACTGAAAAGATTATGACATGAATCAGGTGCACCGAAATTTTCAAATTGACATGATTGCTCCTTATTACTTTGGAGAAGTTCCTGAGAACAGATATTCTCAACATCATACATCTTTTGATTTCTTGACTACTAGTGCAAAAGGTGCTGATTGTGAATCTAAGTAAGATAAAATTGTTGACTATTATTGTAATCTTTTCTCCATCTTTCATGGTGTTGCCTATCAGCCCATTACCGAGGATTTTGGTCTTCTTTTTTAAAAGTTTTCTGCTAGTTTATTTACAAAATACAAACACGCTTGGTGTTTTTTTTTTTTTAATTTTGTTATTTTCTCTGTGTGTACCATCAAATCGGATCTGACTGGTACAGGAGGAGATTGCCCCTCCTTCTCAAGTAGAGCATCTGGTGGGTTCGAACCCATACCTCTGGGATTAGAGTGCAGCTTCTTGCCACTGGGCCACCAGACTCCCTCAAATACACTGTTTTTAAGAACACATTCTTTCCATTTCCCTCACCCTGCCCCTGTCAGATTATACAACCCCGTAATTAATCCCCCTCCCTATGACACAATCCATATTGAAGTCTGTAGTCTTTGACCTTCTGCAACAACTTTCTCAAGTCTTCCTCACTCTAAGCAAGCAGGGTTGTGTCACCTATTCTGATGTCACATTTTTCTTTATAGAATTCAGCTTCTGGAACTATTTGTTCAGTATGCATACTGAATAGGTATGGAGAAAGAATACAGCCTTGAGGATACTATACACCTTTCTTGATTTTAAAACATGCACAGTTCCCTTGTTTTGCTCAAGGATCTAATAATTCTCAGCAAAACAACATCCTTCTTCTCATACAGCTTCTATTCTTAAAAAGAAAGTTAGTGAACAAACAAAAATTGTTGTTACAGTGTACCATCGAGTAGAATCTGACTTATACCTGACACCACCACCACCACCCTTAGAGGGTTTTCAGAGGCTGTATGTCATATGGAAAGAGACTTCTCAATTTTTCTCCTGCAGCACAGGTGGTGAACTCAAACTGTGTTCCTTTGGGTTGGCAGTATCTTACGATTAAGCCACCAGAGATCAAAGCAAAAACATATTAAGTATATTATATAACAGCCGATGATAATGATATAAGAGATAGAGTTGCCAAATTTAGCAAATAAAAATAGAGGATGACCAGCTAAATTTTAATTTTCAATAAACAATAAATGTATTTTTGTATAAGTATGCCCGATGGAATACTTATGACATACTTATACTAAAAATTTAATTTACTTACCTGAAATTCAAATTTACTGAGAAGCTTATGTTATATCTGACAAGAATAATAAGAATATGGCAGTGAATTTTTGTTTTATTGTGGTTTATGTCGTTTTTTTTCAGTATAACTACCCAATGTGCTATAGACACAGTGCTTCTTGCTTGTAACTTGGTCTCCTAAAGGTTTTTAGCTATAGTTTATGGTAATTATGTCAG